AGGGTGCGAGTGATGGGGTCATGGAGCCTGGTACGTGCGAGTACGTGAGTTGCAGAGTTTTGGATGATTTTCAGCTTGTGAAGGGAAGAGTTGGGAAGGCCAATGAGGAGGGAGTTCCCGTAATCTATCTACTTTGCCTTCTCCAGTACCAACTCCAAGTCCACCGATGTTCTATCAACTTGTCTGGCAGACATTAAGGCCTGGATGAGTCTAAACTTCCTGAGGCTGAATGTGGACAAGACCAACAACAAAATTACATTTATGTAATGAGCCTTGATGTGACGAATGCGTGGGTGAGGGTTTTGGCAGCCTGAGGGGTGAGGCAGTGGCATAGTCTGGCAATGTTGCGGAGGTGGTGCTAGGCAGTGCCAGTCATGGGGTATGTTGGGGGAGAAAGGACAGTTCAGGGTCAAACAAGACACCCAGATTTCTGACTGGCTTAGTGAGGTTGAGTGTGCAGCCGTGGATGCTGATGGTGCCAGCACCCGAGGTGCGGAGGCGCTGGCGTGAGCCAATCAGGAGGGCCTCGGTCTTGCTGACGTTCAGTTGGAGAAAGTTGTCACTCATCCAGGACTTGATGTCGGACAGGCAGTCGGTCAGGACGCCATTAATCCTGGAGTTGAGGGTGGAGGCAGAGAGATAGAGGTGCGTGTCATCCGCATACATGTGGAAATTAATCCCATGACTGTGGATGATGTCACCAAGGGGGAGCATGTAGAGGGTGAAGAGGAGGGGAACGAGGACAGAGCCCTGAAGAACACTGCACAAGACGGTGCAGGGGCTGGAGGAGAAGCCGTTTTCTGCGATGAAGTGGAGGCGGTGTGAGAGGTAGGATCTGAACCAGACAAGGACAGAACTTTGAAATTTGAGGTGGGAGGAGGATTGAGTGGTCCGGTGTCAAAGGCAGCGGAGAGGTCGAGGAGGACTAGGAGCAGAGGGAGCCCTGGTCGCACATGATCAGGATGTCATTTGTGACCTTGACCAGAACAGGGGGTGACAGGTTCAAAGGTGTGGACAAGATGGAAACCATACTCCTTGGTTCCAATCAACATCTTCACTCCTGCAGATCTGGACTCCTAAACCTCCCTAGGCTCTCCCTCACACTCACCGAACAGTGTGCAATCCAGGTGTCTGGTTCGACCCCCAGCTATCCTTCCTTCCCACATCCGGTATCTGACCAGGGATGCCTTCTTCCACCTCCACCACATTGCCTGCCTCAGACCGCACCTTACCCCAAATGCAGACAAAGCCCTCGTGCATGCGTTTGTCACCTTCCACTTGGATTACTCCCCATCACCAAATAGATCGACTTCAAGATCCTCACACTTGTTTTCAAATCCCTTCGCTCTTTGGCACCTCCCTACCACTCCGACCTGCTCACTTCCCAATCCATCACCCAACGCCTCCGCTTGACTGACACCGGCCTCCTGTTCATCCCTCGCACTCTCTGCCCCACCATCGGAGGTCGTGCATTCAGTCACTACGCCCCAAAACTCTGGAACACTCTTCCTCAATCCCTCCGCTTTCCCCCTCTCTCCCCTTCTTCAAGTCCTAACTGAAAATGTTACTCTTCAACCGGGCTTACGGCCACCTTCCCCCACCCCCTGGCTTGGAGTCGGGCTCTGCCACAGTTAAGCACTCTGAGTCGCTACCATGCTCGGAGGGCCTATGTAAGTCGCTGTTGTAGCAAAAGTGAATACTGTGCAACAGACTGCATAAATGCATATAGAACACATATAGATTAATAAGTCAATCTCTGAACTTCAAAAACAAATCTCCATCCAACATTTCTTCTATTCAAACCTAGCGGCACTTTCCTTGAAAGATAATAATCAGTCACAGACCCTCTCACTCCTTCAGCAGTCATGTCATGGCATATCCCACAGAGTATTTGTTGACCTATTCCAATTTCTTGAATGCTGTCCGGCTACTTATCCAATTATTTTTCAAAGAAAAGTGTTTTTCTTTAAACTGTTAGGGTTAAACAGTTCTGACTTTGCATAGGTGAATTTCAGACCAATGTTCAAGCGGGTTTTACAGGAACAGTTCAGGGTATTGACTCATTCCCTTGCCTGCTGCTGTCAGACATTGCAACTTATTCTATCAAACCGGTTTGTCACCTTGTTGTCCACGCAGCCCAGTGTCGGGGTTCAGGCAATTACACATTTATGACGGACCCTGCGACACCCCAACATGTTCGCGTGTCTGCGATTAAAAAAAACATCAAACATCAATTTTATTTGAAAACATCTTAAATCCTGATAATGTCAATACGGTTCAGCGTTACATAAAATGTGTCAACGTGCGATCACTGCAGCGCGTAGGAATCTAACAGACCCACCCGCCGTAAATCCTTTCTGACAACCCAGGAATATCACACAGATAACGGACCATATACACCAGAGACTAGGCGATAGGTTTACACCTCACCCTGCAAGGCAACACACCCCACCCTGCAAGGCAACGCACAACAATAACTTGGATTTATATAGCGCCCTCTACGCCGGACGACATCTCAGAGCGCTTCACAATACGGATCTCAGGGCCGAGCCAGGGGGAAGGGGAGGAAGGTGATCAAAGGCGCTGTCGAAAAGAAAGGTCTTTAGCCGAGACCTGAAAATAGGAAGAGAGGGGGCGAGGCCAAGGGAGTGAGGAAGGGAGTTCCAGAGCGTCGGGGCATAGTGGCTGAAGGCACGGCCGCCGATGGTGGAGCGGAGGATTCGGGGATGAGGAGGCCAGACCCAGTGGAGGAAGGGCAACGGGCACTGTTTTGAGGAGAGGAGGTCAGAGAGGTCGGGGGGTGCAGAGGAATGGAGGGATTTGAAGACAGGAGTGAGGATCTTGAGGTAGATCCTCTCTGGGACAGGCAGCCAGTGCAGTCTGGCCATGACTGGGGTAATTGGGAGCGGAGTTTGGTGCGGGTGAGAATGCGGGCGGCAGAGTTTTGTATAATCTGGATTTTATGGATGGTAGTGGAGGGGAGACCGGCGAGGAGGGCGTCAGAGAAGTCCAGATGAGAGGTGACAAAGCATGGGCCAGGGTTTCAGCGGCTTTTGGGGTGAGGTATTGTTGGAGACGGGCGATGCGTCGGAGGTGGAAGAAAGTGGTGCTGGTGAGGGACCGCATGTTGGGGAGGAAGGATAACCCCACCCCACCCCACCCTGCAAGGCAACGCCCCCCACCATGGCAATGGGAGAAGGGAGAAGGTAGGGGAGAGGGAGACGGAAATGAAGAGAGATGTGGAGGAGAGAGACTCATGAAGATAGAAGATGGGGAAGGAGAGTAAAAACAGGAGGTGAGGGAGAGGAAGGAAGGAGACGGAGAGGGGGGGTGGGGGCGGCGTGTGTGAGTGTCTGAGCTACACCTGAGAGACGCATCTGCTGTCTGTCAGACCCTCCGCCCTACAGCAGCGGACAGGCGGCCGCCACCTGTAACCAACCACAACAGGTCCGGGAGGAGCTCGGGAGTGGCGGGGGGGGAGCTCGGGGGGGGGGGGGGGGGGAGGGGGGGGGGGGGGGGGAGCTCGGGGAGGAGCTGGGGGGGAGGAGCTGGGGGGAGGAGCTGGGGGGGAGGAGCTGGGGGGGAGGAGCTGGGGGGGGAGGAGCTGGGGGGGAGGAGCTGGGGGGGGAGAGCTGGGGGGGAGGAGCTGGGGGGGGAGGAGCTGGGGGGGAGGAGCTGGGGGGGGAGGAGCTGGGGGGGAGGAGCTGGGGGGGGGAGGAGCTCGGGGGGAGGAGCTCGGGGGGGGAGGAGCTCGGGGGGAGGAGCTGGGGGGGAGGAGCTCGGGGGGGAGGAGCTGGGGGGAGGAGCTGGGGGGGAGGAGCTCGGGGGGGAGGAGCTCGGGGGAGGAGCCGGGGGGAGGAGCTGGGGGGGAGGAGCTCGGGGGGGAGGAGCTGGGGGGAGGAGCTGGGGGGAGGAGCTGGGGGGGGGGGAGCTGGGGGAGGAGAGCTCGGGGGGAGGAGCTGGGGGAGGAGCTGGGGGGGGAGGAGCTGGGGGGGGGGGAGCTCGGGGGGGAGGAGCTCGGGGGGAGGA